CCCTCACAGTTTAATAGTAATGACTTTATGAATTTCTTCACTGATAAAATAGATAACATCAGAAATACAATAACAAATTTAGATTCAACAGCGTCTAGTACTTCAGCTTCATTCATCGCACTAAAAGATAAACTGCAGTGCTTTACAACTATAGGACAGGAAGAGCTAAATAAACTTACCACTGCATCTAAACCAACATCATGTTTATTAGATCCTGCACCCATTAAATTACTGCAAGAGTTGTTACCTGTAGCAGAAAAAGTCTCTGCACTGGCTACCTATTAAGTTCTGTATCAGTTACAAAATATTATTACTTACCTACAAGGCCATTAATGGTTTAGCTCCTGCGCACCTAACTAGCCTGCTACCACGCTACAATCCATCACGCTCCCTAAGGTCGCAAAACTCAGTTTTCCAACCCTGAAACAACATAAACTACCAAATTTTGCTACAAGTTTGATTGCAACATATAATAATTGCTTTTTATAGTGTTCATCGTCTGTTTGATTACGTGACGTCATTAACTGAATTTTACCGTACATTTCTGCCATATGTACATTAACTGACATAGTCACCACGGACAAGCTACTACTATATATTGTAGAAACTTAATTTTCTGTAAAGCTGATTTGCAACGATTTTTATCGTGAAAAGCGCTATACAAATAAACTTGAATTGAATTGAATTAAACAAGTAGAAACGTAAATCAATGAATCTAGACTTTTATATCTAGAGATTTGTATGCGTTCACCTGTATTGCGAAGGTCCCCAGCACAATTGAACAGAAGATAGGGTTTGAAAAGATTCCATCAAAAACGTTCCTCTCTCCATGGATCTTACGGGCATTGATCTCATTGAAGAGTTGCATGAGGACAAAGGTGTTAAAGATGATGGTGTAATGCTCGGAGGGAGGAGAGTGAAGTGGAGCGTTACGTCCACTGTCTATGTCAAAGATCTTCTCACCTGAGCAAAAGGTCAGGAAAAGATGACATGAATATACAATATCAACTGAAACCAATAAATTAAAACAATATATAATGTTGACTATTACTAATTTGACACATATTAATTGTACATCCTTGTAGATTTCAGAAGACAACAGAGCTTATGTATCTATCAAATCCTTTGACAGAAACAGTGCACAAAGTACCGTACCTACAAAGAGCAGGGTGAAGATGATGATGAGCTGGTAAACTGCATGGCCAAGGATGTTCTTCATCATGGTCCTGGATATGAGGGGGTTGTTTCGGCCATAGGGCTTCCTCAGGAGCAATGCTTCGGTGGGTGGCTCTGTGGCAAGAGCCAGAGAAGCAAATGTGTCCATGATCAGATTGACCCACAGCATCTGCACAGCCTTAAGGGGTGAATCCTACATACACAAAAACAGACCAAAAAATAAATAAACAAATAAATAAATAAATAAAACAGTTTAAACGTCAGGTTATATTAGTGCATATATGCACTACCATTCAAATGTTTCAGGTCAGTAAGAAATTTAAAGTTTTTGAAAGAGGTCTCTTAAGCCCACCAAGGCTGAATTTATGTGATCGCTAACAGAGTAAAAACCTGTTTTTTATTTCAGTATATTTTAAAGTTTAATTGATTCCTGTGATGTTCAAGCTGAATTATCATCAGAATTGCTCAAGTCTTTAGTGTTATCCTTCAGAAATCATTCTAAAATACTGATTTGGTGCCCTTGATGGTTGTGCTGCTTAATATTTTTGTGCAAACCCTGATATACATTTTTCAGGATGAATAGAAAGTTCAAGAGAACGGTATTTATTTGAAACAGAAATATATATATATATATATATATATATATGTGTGTGTGTGTGTGTATGCATGTACCTGCGTGATGCAGGCACCAGTGAAGGCTACTATGACAGCCACCACATTCACTGTGAGCTGAAACTGTAAGAACTTGGAGATGCTGTCATACACATTCCTTCCCCACATCACAGCCTTTACTATGCTAGAGAAGTTATCGTCCGTCAGGATGATGTCAGAGGCCTCCTTGGCCACATCTGTACCAGCAATGCCCTATGCAAAAAGAGAAATCAATTACTATTTTTGAGTATTCAGACATCTTTAAATCTGGTATGCTTCAATTTAACATTGAATTTAAAACATAAGAGTCACAATTTTGTTTTCACACTTGGTGCATTCTCAATCTGTGTATACCAGTTGATATGCACTGCATCTCATATTAACTTTTCCAATTAACTTGACGTATGGTTTGAAGGATGGCTTTCATGCTAATCTAAGAAACAAACTTTACTGTCAACCAAACCGGAGCCAAATCAAAACATCTAGTGTAAAAGCAACATTCATGCGCACTGAATGTCTCATTATTTAGCTTCAGTTGGGTTTATCATTACACTATGTGTAACAGAACCTCAAAAATAGATGGCAATGTTTCACATATTTAGTGGATGGATCTTCTCACCATTGCAAACCCCACATCAGCTTTCTTAAGAGCAGGTCCGTCATTTGTGCCATCACCAGTGACTGCAACCACCTGCCTTTGTTCTACAATGGTGCTGTCTATGATACCTGAACACAAGACACACACAAAAGAAAAAATCCTAATAATCGATTCAAGACCAAAATATCTGTAATGCAAAGTTGGCAAAAATGGTTAGAAAACCATTACCCAAACCACTGACATCCTGAAGAGCTTGGTATCTCTACTCAAGTCAGCATAAATGTCATTATATCACTTTACTATACTGTATTGTACTGTAAGTGATTATAAGGGAATTCCATTAAGGACATAATGGAGAGGTAATCATCCCCATAGGAACAAGGTATGAACTCAACTGACGAAGAGACTCACCTTTGACTAGTGTGTGTTTGTCTGTAGGGGAGGAACGAGCAAGAACTCTGAGCTTGGGCCAAATTTTGTCAATGCGCTCTTGCTCAATCTGCAACAAAAAGTTGGGGGGAAAAAACACATCACCATACTCTTATGCTCACCCAGGATGAATTTACTTGATCTCAATACAGTAAAAACAGTCATATTATTATATTATATTAATATATTCATATAATAATAATAATAATAATGAAATATTATTTTAAAATGTAATAGATTATAAAATGTAGTTTATTCCTGTGATGGCAAAGCAGAATTTTCAACAGTCATTACTCCAGTCTTCAGTGTCACATGATCCTTCAGAAATTATTCTAATATGCTGATTTATATAGAAATAGTTCCTGCATAAGTTCTGTACATAACTACAAAACTTGGAAGTATACCTCTCCTTTCTCATTTCTGATTCGCCTGTTGAAGTCCTTCCCTTCCATACACAGGAAGTCGTCGCCAGGATGGATGATGCCACATTTGGCAGCGATGGCACGTGCAGTGTTTATGTTGTCACCCGTCACCATACGCACCGTGATGCCTGCTCGTTGGCACTTCCTGATGGCTTCTGGGACCTGATTAGAATTATAATCAGCAAATCAGAACAGATATCAATATCATAATTATGCCTCATATACAGCATTTTAAGACTTCTTATGAAGTCGTAATAATTTTCAGAAGTTATGTTCAGGGTATGTACGGTTTCTCAGGTAAATAGGAGAGAGAGACTGAAACATGAAGAGTACACAGACATCCAAGACAGTAAACTGGTCTGTATACCTCAGGTCGAACAGGGTCTTCAATGCCGACCACTGTGATGCAGATAAGGTTGGAGACGATGTCTGTCTCGTTGTCCCAGTCTGGCATGGGGTCAGCTGGGAGCTCTCGGTAAGCAATGCAAATCGTACGAAGGCCATCGCATGCCATCGGTTCAATCACTTTCTTCACCATTTCATCTTTGTCCTGTGGCCTAAAAGCACGAGTTTCACCATCACGGCCCAAGATGAACGAGCACCTAAGATGAAGGCAGAACTGTTTAATTAATTTATCTTTACAGTGTATTTTTGACAAAGACTGCACTTTTCAAAATTTGCATGGTACTAATTTTCAGAAAAAGAAAACTTTGTTTAACAAATTAATTTCAAAATTTGTGGCAACAAAAATATTTGTTTTATTTGCTACTTTTCACAATTAGGTACAAATTAGGCCTTGAAGAAAGTAGTAATCTTTAGTTTGAACATTTTTAACAAATGGCCAGTGAAATAAGATGCTTAACCTTCACAAAACGTTGATTATCAAAATCACAACTAAGTATTATAATAAATAGTATAACTAAAATAGACTAGCATTTGAAAAGATTCTTGTTCATCAAGGCTGTGTTTATCAAAAAATGCAGTTAAAACAGTAATACTGTGAAATATTTTTACAATTTAAAGTTTTTAAATAATCTTTAATATATTTTAAAACAATTTATTCCTGTGAAGCCAAAGATTACTTTTCAATAGACATTACTCCAGTCTTCACTGTCACATGATCCTTCAGAATTTTTTTTAATATGCTGATTTCCTACTCAAGAAACATTTCTTATTATCATCAATGTTGAAAACAGAAGTGGGGAAACTGCAATACAATGTCTCTCTTCAGGATTCTTTGATAAACACAAAGTAGAAAAGCATTTATTTGAAAAAGAAATGTTAGTTACTTTTTGAGCAGGATCTCAGAGGCTCCTTTGCTGTATAAGCGGAAGCTTCCATCAGGCATCTGAATGACAGTGCTCATGGATTTTCTGACAGAATTAAAGGTGTAGACTTTATAGAGCTTCTCTTCTGGGATCTGCTCCCTCACAGCTGGGTAGTCTTGCTTCAGGTCCCGCACGAGTCCCAGCAGAGCACATTCTGTCTTATTACCCACTTGTTTGGGCAGCCCACCTTCCTTATCTGCAGCCTGGGAAGAAGAGGTGAAAAGAGTGGAAGACAGAGTAAATGAAAGCATGAAATGACAGTCATAAACTGCAGTGATATCACTGTGATGCATGGCCTCTCATGGATTACTGCAAAGGTTTAGTGCTCAAGTATATAGTCTTTTACTAAAGTACTCTCACCATTATGTTGGAGGTGTAGGCGCAGTTCACAGCAACAGCACTGGTGATGAGCTCCAGTGTCTTTGGGTTAATCTGGTCTGGTCTTGGGATGTCGCGGAAGTGCTGGTCCTCTACATAAATCTGCACTACTGTCATCCGGTTAGTGGTGAGGGTCCCCGTTTTATCTGAACAAATTGCCGTGGCATTGCCCATAGTCTCACATGCGTCCAAATGACGCACCAGGTTATTGTCCTTCATCATTTTCTATGGAAAGGCATTAATAGGAAGAGCGTTAAAATGTTAGTGGCACTTGCCAATATGAGTGTGTGTGTGTGTGTGTGTGTGTGTGTAAATGACACTTCTATGATGGACTGAACGTTACAAAAGCAGGTGCATTCTTCAACATAACTTGTCAGAAAATACCAATTATTAATTTTTGACTCTGACCTTTACGGAGTAGGCCAATGATATGGTGACAGCCAGTGGCAAACCCTCTGGCACAGCCACCACCAGAACTGTAACTCCGATGATGAAGAATTTGACAAAGTACTGCACATAAATAGGCGTGCATTCTGTCAGCCAGGCCCGTCCCTGAATGACGAACGTTTCGATCACGAAGTACAGCATCAGGATAATCACAGTGATGGCGGACATCACCAGACCTGAAATAAATCATACATGTAATTGCTTAGAAATATAATAGCACACCTCTCCTCAAAGAGCCACACTGTTTTGAGATATCATGTATAATTAATTGGGTGAATTACTGACCGAAATATACACTACCAAGTGTTTGGGGTTGATTTACTAATTTAGTTTTTGAAAGAAGTTCAATGCTCAGCAACAATGTAATTATTTGATCAAAAAATGATCAAAACAGTATTATAGAGAGATAACATTACCATTTAAAATAACTCTCTATTTTTTTATTTAAATATAATTTACTCCTTTGATGGCAAAGTTGTATTTTCAGCAGTCATTACTCCAGTCTTCATGGTAATGTATAACATCAGAATTTATGTATGAGTCCCATAAATGCGGAAAATCTATCTAAATAATACCATTTTTTTTTTATCAAGCAATAACCTTAAAATACCCACTTGATAATATTCATTTACCTTGGGTGGTACAAAAACAAACTGAATTAAGAAAGAGACCAACTGTTCTTTTTACAAAATAATAATAAAAAAAAATAAAAAAAATAAATAGAAATCTTACTGACCCCAAAATTTTGAACAGTAGAATATTACTTAGAGGTTCAGTAAAACTCCTATCCCTAAGTATGAGCAAAAATAACGCTTGACTTGGCAAGCCAATACGATCAGAAGAACTTGACCTAACTTTAGACCTCCCCACCTGCTTTCCCGATTTGCACTGCGAGCTTGGTGAGTTTGCCCTGAAGAACTGATTTCTCCTTCTTGGGCACACTGGCTTTTTTCTTCTCTTTCTCCTCCACTTCCCCACCTTCTGCACTCTTCAAAGGCTGCATCTCCATGGCAACAGCCTCATCCTGTTTCTTAGCTATAGTGGGTGGAGACAAAGTGATCAGGCAAGCAGAATTATAGGTAACCGTTAGAAATAGCAAACTACACAGAATAGCAAAGAACATTTTTTTGTAGTTTGCAGTATGTATACTGCACACAGTATGCACAATATCACTATCTGAACTGACTGTCATGACATAAGTCATTTAAAAAAATATATTAATTAATATCTAAAATTCATAATAAAGGCAGCATTCAGTATATACTGTGCAGGATGCAGTTTTCATTCTGAAAATAGTTGATCATAATAATGATTTTATCTTGCCATAAATCAATCTGAACATGCCTCTTAAAAGTGATCGTAACTCGATTCTAATTCAGTCCTGAAAGTCCAGCCTGGTCTCATGTTTATACGTAGGTATTAATACGTAACATTTACAAGCACAAAACGTACACTTTTGTGAGTTTTTATTAATGCTAAAACGTACAATTTAGACGTATTTCAACGTTTAAAACGTACAAATCGCAACGTATTTTTAGCTAAAAAACGTAAAAATATTTACGTATCGTTTATATCATTAAGATATTCATATCAATGCATTTTTATCATTTTATCAATAAGCGATTTAGATTTTTAGACCCCTTAACCTACCCCCAAACCTAAACCTACCCATTTTATAGCGAATATGCATTTTTATCATTTTATTAATATGCAATTTAGATTTTCAGACCCCTTAACCTACCCCCAAACCTAAACCTACCATTTTATAGCGAATATGAAAGGATAAAACGCAAATGACTAATACGTCAGTATTGTACGTTTTAGTGCCTGTAAAAACGTAAGTAAATGTACGTTTTATAGAACCACATTTTACGTAAAATACATACAAATTATCATGAGATCACGTTGGAAAGTCACCTTTATTTTGATTGTTCTCCAGGGTCCCGTCTTGTTTCCCTGTGAAGGTTAATGCAGACATTTAAACAAAACAAATATCGTTTCTGCTGCTTGAGGTCAATGTAGCTGACATGAGAGAACAATAACGTGCATGAGAAAGAAAACATAAAACATGGAGCGATAATATTTGACAGATATGGAGAGTTAAACCAGGATGTCTGTTTATGAGTCATCTCTCTCTATTGTGAATGTCACCTACCATTTATGATGGTGTGTTCTTTGGCTTCAACACTGGGGAACTGCGTGGATGAATTACTATTGACCTCTGATAGAATTGTTGGAAACAGAGGACAGGACAAAAACGAAGGTGGTATGTAAAGACATAAAACAAAACCTAAATGCTGAACAAAAGCAATGAAAAATCAACTCAAATGAGTGAGCAAAATTTCTGAGCATTTCAATGCATTGAAATAGAATTGACCCAGACCATTAGACATTTTGTATCTGGATAATTCTATGTGGGTATTCAAGCAAAATGGATTTTTCTTTTATGATGTGCATGTTTAATCATGCTCAACTTTTAAGCATTTATAAAATACTTTTAAAGAACTGACAGACGCCAACCTTTCTTGCAGTCTTTCTTCTCTTCCTCCACCTCTCCGGCCCCCAGGAGGGTGAAGATGATTCCCGTTTGAGAGTTGACACCAACAGCGGTCACCACCATTTTCCCCGATCCCTCCATTACATGAGTGCCTGAGAAGATTTTTTTGCAGTAAATATTTTCAACAATTTGTTCACAACTCTTCCCTTCCCTAATTGAAAGCAATTACATGTTTATACTAATTCAAATTAAAATAGCTTATTGGCACCATCTTGTGACTCAAGATGGTTAGCTACTGACTAAAGGACTTCAGTATTCATTGTAATATCTATTTTGAACATAAAAACCTTTATAAATGACTAGAAGTTCAGGTGTCTCCAGTTAGAGCATGTTTAATCTAAAACAACTGATTACATGTAAATGTTTATACAAATAATGATTTCAAGGAATTCAAAGTGTCATAAAAATCTTTTAAATTCATATTAAAAACAGCTCAGTTGTAGAACGCTTACTTAATCTACAGGACTTTGCAATTTTAAGGTGAGGTTAAGGGGAAATATAAGCCTACACTGTTATTTCATCGATGCCCAATCAATTGTATGAGTCATGGATAGCCTCGTTTAATGTATTGATGTTATTTGTTGTGCTCACACTAGCCCCTGCACTTGTCTAAACCAAGGATCAGAATTAAAGCTGAAGTCTCCTCCATGGCCTTTCCTTTTAGTGTGTAATACAATTAAACTGAACTAGATTGCTTCTTTGTTCCCTGATTCAATGCACATTAATTCTTGCTTTGTTTACCATTATTTGTCTTGTTTTCCAGAAAGAAATATCAAAACACACTTAAAAAGATAGCTGTAAAAAAAAAAAAAAACCTAACTACATAAAATACAAATAATGTGTTACAATAACATTTTTTTTTTTTTATTGGATTCAGTTTGTTTTTCCTACCCCAATCGGTGAGGTTTATGTCTATTGCCAATGAGAGAAGATATTTTTACAGAGATAAACAAAACAGAACTACTGATTAAGAGCATTATTTTGTGCAGCATGCATTTCCTTCTTCACAACAGAAGCCTTCAAACATACATGGTGAGAAGAGATGACTCTCCCATAATGACTGAGAAAATAATATGCACCCCTTGATGATTAATTGCACACGCTGATGAACGACAAAAAGGCTTTGACAATAAAAACAAAACATCTTCACGGAAACTAGTCATCTTAAAGTTGAGAAACATGAAGCAAGAGATCCTTATTGAGAAAACATCTTAGTCTGCACAAGAGTTTCACTACATTTTCCCAAATTCATCCTGATAAATCAAAGCTGTTTTAAATTAAGAACCTCCTGCTTTCAAAACAAGTTTTCCCTCAGGCCATCCACCTCCTCAATGACCTTAAGAACTGACTACACAGGCTGGAACTGATCCAGTACTGCTATACTTCAATCTACCATCATATATCATATGAGATCACATCAAATAATAAACTGTTTGTTTTTTTTATTTATTTAAACCTGGAATAACCATAGAAGTTCAGGATTTTGAACAAGGAACAGTTACGATGTAAAATGATTAAGAAATATTTACTATTTCTAGGTCATTAATCAAATAAATAACACTGATCATTAAGAGACCTTTGTACAAAAGGTCAGATAGTCTTGCTCTTTATTTTAAAATGCAATTTATGGTAAAGCTGAATTTTCAGCAGCCAATGCTCCAATAAAAGTACAGCATTTGTTTGAATCATTTACTAAACCATTTTAGTTTGTTACTGAGAATACAGGCAATTCAAGAAATTGTGATTCTGACTTGGACACTCAAGGGACGGGAGTAAACGATATTCAGATTTTTTTCTTTGCTACAAATTAGTATTCATTATTCTTCGTTAATGTCAATTTATCTATGCGAGTCCACTCTAATCATGTTACACATGCATTTTTCACATTAAATGTCTAAAAACATGTTATGTTTCCATAGATTCCATTTCCCATTTTTCACACTTGATTATGTTGAGGTCGTGGGGTAACGCTGCGTGTGTGGCCAAGTGAAGAAACAGCTGCTGCTCTGGTGAACTGCGATCATTAGAAAGAAGTAGCAGAGCAGGTCTCTAGAGGGCCAAACACAAATCTGAGCCTTTCTCCAGGAAGCAGAGATGAGGAGGAAGCTGATTAACCTGTTTATCAGACCTAAGGGACGTTCTCTCATTAAACCAGTCAATGGGATTTAGCCCAAGCACTGCACAACCTGAGTGTTAAAGTATTGACAGAATACTTTGCAAAATCCCCATCCTCCCAAACAGCAAATTGGTTCAATTCAGATGGATTGCAATAGTGTCAGCCTAAATTAATTGATACTGGTAATTCTGTGAAGGCTTACAGTATACTACACACGTGATGTTACCATATAAGTAAAGGGAATTGTGCCCCTGGGAATAAGCATCCTGCTCAAGCAAACAAAACACCCTTTGCATGTTCAAGCCTGGATTTTTAACCACTAGGATTTGTTCGCATCCCGGATCATCTGAATTCTTAAACAGATGGTGAATATCTTTCAGTATTTATATGGTTTTGAATATCCAGAAATATTTATGTAAAAACACACACAAACATTCATCACAACCTATGGCCATATGGCCGACCCAGTCCACACAATTCCACGCAAACATATGTTCACTTATATACCCTTTACTCCCTACCTGACAGCAGCATGGGATCCTTGTCAATGGATTTGCGTACGTGATCAGACTCTCCAGTGAGGGAGCTCTCATCGATCTTGAGGTCGTTCCCTTGCATGAGAATACCATCCGCAGGCAGGAGGTCGCCTAGGAGACCCCAGAGTGACAGCAACAGATCAATCTTACAAGCCCTTGAGTACTACTACCTTTAATGACCAAAATTAAAAAATTAATTATTCAAAGGCATCTTCACATCCTTTATATATATATTTTAAATAATATATATTATTATAATTTATACACATGCACAATTTAAGTAAGATTTTAAGAATTTGCTATATTAATAATTCAATACTAATACAGTAAACCGATTATAAATTTATGTATAAATAGTTTTTGAATGCAATTTATATATTTTAATTTTACAGAAATAATTTGTTATAATTTATATACATGCACAATTTTAATTTTAAGGATTTGCTATATGAATATATGAATAATATAATACTAATACAGTAAACCGATTATAAATTTATGTATAAATCATTTATTTTAATTTTAGAATGCATTTATATACTTTAATACTTTATATCAAAATAATTTTAATTATAATTTATATACATGTACAATTTTAAGTGTAATTTTAATTATTTGTTATAGAAACAATATAATACAAATTGATTATATGCATTATTTGTTCGCTATTTGAATGAATTTTATATATATTTTATATATAATATATATAAATACATTTTTATATATACATAGACACATAGATAGATAAACATGTACATATACTCTATACTTGAATAATTAATTTATATTATTTTAATTATATTGTTTATATAAAAACGTATACATTTAAAATTTGTTTATAATTATACAAAATTAGAATTAGAATTAGCATTAGCATTGTTTACATTTCGTTAATTTTATAAATGATGAGTTCATAAAGAATTTAAGCAAACAGTCATTTTGTAGGGATCACAGGAACTTAACAGTACACTTTTAATAGAGACAAGACTCCTAAAGATTTTAAAGTTTTTAATAAAGAATCACCCCATGTGAGTTTCGCACCACCCAAATTTATGAAGCATTTATTCATTCATAATGTAAGATGCATTCATATAAGACGATTTGTGGAGCAAATTTTGAAGGGTCTCTACTGACCATATTTGACCTGGGCAATATCCCCCACCACCATCTCAGCCACAGGGATTTGAATGACCGTGCCGTTCCGCACCACAGCGAAGCGCTGCTCCTGCTCAATACGGCTCTGCAGGCCACGGAACTGCTTTTCTTTGCTCCAGTCATTAAACGCTGTCACCAGCACCACGCAGAGCACCGAGAGCAGGATAGCTGCACCCTCGATCCAGCCCGCCTCCGCCTCTCCCTCGTCCTCCGCACCTGCACTCACATTACTACACGCTGGAGAGAAAGAGAAAGAGATGGAAAGGTAAAAATGTGTGGGAGAGGACAGCGAGTTTGAGTGTCTACTTGTAATCCTTTATATTATTTTATCTATCCATCATCTCTCACTCCATTCCTTATACTCTTTGTTTTCTTAGCTATCTATGTGACTATACTGGTACTTACACTCAGGATTACTTTAAAAATGCATTCAAAAGGACACACAAGACCATTTTAGGGATGAAAATCTGAAAAATGTCTTGATATAAGCATGTACAAGTAGCAGTGTTAATATTAGCAGGGTAAGGGTCACCAGACTGTTACATTATTGAAATTCTAATGGGGCCACGACATGAAGCATATAACGTCTTCCCTGAGCTTCTGATGAAAGGCCAGAAATCCCTTTTATGGTCAGATTATGTTTGCATTTTTTAACATTTGTACTTTTTTTTTTTTTCACTGAATACTTCGAGCCCAATTCACCTTCACTGTCCCCTCCTGGCGGCTGGTAAAAGGACAGTCCGAGGGAAATAATGGCCGCTATTTCCAGGATTATAAGGGTAACATCCTGTAGAGCCTCCCACACGAGCTGAAGGAAGGTCTTGGCCTTCTTAGGAGGGATGAAGTTCATTCCAAACACTTGCTGACGTTTCTCCAGGTCCGCAGGATTGTCCGATAATCCTTTTGGAGGGAAAGATGGTGCTTAAAATCATTGTCACCGATCAAATCTTACTAATGAAACAATTGAAATTCTATGAGACGTGAATTGCTATATTATTATTAGGGTTGCAAAGGAGTGGAAAATTTCCAGTAAATTCCAGAAACTTTCCCAAATTCCCGGAAGACTCCAAAAAATCCTGGAAAGTTTCCAAAATTTACTGGAAATTTTCCACCTTTTTGCAACCCTAATTAATATTAATGTCAGTTATAAAAACAGTAAAATAACCAAATAATCAGCCTAAGAACATGTATACTGGTGTAAATCAGAGTTATGGTGCTTAAAAACCACAATTCATGTATTAATGGGTTTTTCTCTATGCAAATGGTTTTGAGAACTTCCTGGATGCTCATTAGTCATCACTCAATTCTGTTAGCACCAATCCCTGACCTCTTAGGGTGACAGGAAGGGAGGGGAGAGGACATAACAAGAGAACACAGGGCACAGACGGTAAAGTCAGTGTGTTTCGGATGCACCACAGGGTGTGATTTTTGGCAGCAAGACCCAGACAGACTGTAACGCTCTCTGCATCCTCACCCTGCCAATCATCACCTGCTGCCCCTGGCAACCTCTCATCTCCCATCAGAGCTTCCCTTTCACTCACTGTAAAACCTAATTGAGTTACTCCAACGGGTTGTAGGAAATCATTTCCCTAACTCATTCCAATTGCCCCGATTAATTCATTCAGTCTCTGTTTGGCACAATATGCGCAAGTAAATTAAGACAACCGAGAAACACCAATGCAATCCTCTTTCCACGGACTACCAGAACTGAAAGACTTTTGCAGTACATCCAGCCCTTTTTTTGACCCTTTCATCTTTCCATCCATGCCCGTAAGCTTCTCTTTTTGTATCCCTGTCACGCTTTCTGAAGAGTGGTTTTTCAAAGAGCAGCATTAAAAGGAGGGGAAAGCGTTTTACAATAAACTAAAAGTAACCTCAACATGGCTGCCAAATAGCGATGCAGGCAGATCGCATGACTTGGTCTGAAAGCAAGTGGTCAGAACAAGATGCGGATCAATGTGATTATCAGAGCGCAAAGTAGGATTATCTACCCAGAATAGCTGCTGCAATAAAAGATTCCAAGCAAAATTATTTTTTAATGTTACTTTGAAAGTTTAAATCCTAGCAAACTAAACACCGTGGTTTTATTTAGTCTGTTTCTGATCATTCCAAGCATGAAATATGGAGGAATAGAAAAATGCTATACAAGCACAGTATCCTTCTCAAATTATGAATGTAGATTTATTATGCAACACCACAGTAGCATATGGCAGAAGAATATAAGAGCTTTGATATTGTCTAATGATGATACTACTTCAATATTTTTTATTTTTAAAGTGCAGTTTGAGTTTGCATATGCTTCAGTGTTATTTGAATATTATTTATATACTACTATAGTATTTTTAAATTACCTTTTATTTTTACATTTTCAGTTTTCTTTTTAAATTTTAGGACGTTTTATGTGATTTTGTGATTTGTATTAATTTTGTTTTTCTATATAGATTTTATTCATTTTTATTTCAGTTTAATTTTAGTAAATTTAGTGCTTAAACTTATATCAGTTGCTGAAGCAACATTTCTAATTTTAACTTAAGGGTTTCCTCTAATATCTAGATTTTTTATTTCAGCTTTATTATTTTTATTAACTACTCAAAATGATTTATCAAAACTTGCATGCTCCATTTTTACCTATAAAGCAACATATTGTATATCATAAATACATATTGTTGGAAGAATCAAGAATTTTCTTGAATTTCTTAATACAAAAACTACTCCAAAAACAGCATTACAGAGAGATGCTCTCATCTGATAACATGGGCAATGCAAGGTGTTTCGTTTTTACTGCGAAAAATGTAGAATAAAATTCAACACCAGGTGCTCTTCAGGGATATCTGCTTTCAAAGGCAGATAAAGGCACCTGGCATTTGGTATTCTTTCCGTGAAGACAGGCTTGTTTTGAAAAGGAGTGTTTGTGAATATAGGTGCATCTGGATTTACAGGACTGTTTCACTCAAAAATGAATTCTGTCATCATTTACCCATCCTCATGTCATTCCAAACCTTTGTTTAGAAAATCCTTCTTTTGCGATGCACAAAAAGATCAGTTTTGAAGAACTGAACTGGTTGCCATTTCCCATGCAATAACAATTAATGGGGACTGAAGCATGAACGTATCATAAAAATGGTCCATACAACTTGTGCACTACATTAAAAGTCTTATCAGTGAATAATTACTTAAATTTTGGTCCGTTCCTGACACAAAACTATTGTAGAGCTACAGAAGATCTATATGAATACGTAATTCACAAGTCTAATGGAGCAATTTTATGAGGCTTTTATGGTGCTTTCGTATCTTTTCTGATAAAAGCCTCAGTCCCCATAGGGACTAACTGCATGGTACACAGCAATCAGTATAATTCTCCATTTGTGTTCCACGAAAGAAATAAAATCATTCGGTTTTGAATGACCTGAGAGTGAGTAAATGACCACAAACTTTTTATAATAGCTGAAAATGTCTGTCTGTTTCAGGATGCACGTGTGATGTAATTAGCAAGTGACATGGTCATGTCCAAACTAGTACTACTCACCATCTGCAGGTGAAGTCTTGAGTCTGTGACAGAGGGTTTCTGTGTCTGTGTAGTTCTCCTGGATCTTCTGCAGGGCCTCGGCTCCCCTGAGCTCCATCAGCGAGCATAACTCCTCAACTGTCACCCCGAAATCTCCCTCATGACCTCCTTTGTCCATCCCTGGCTTCTTAGGGTGGAAGTCTACCGTGCTATTGCCCAGATCCCCCATGATGGTGTGTTGGTTGTGGAAGACGACTATGCTATGAGCTAAAAGATGGGTACCTGGGAAAATGTGTGATCTCTTTTGTCTTATTTATATTCCTCCTCACCTATTTCTAAGATGTTCTCTGTGTAGTTCTCCGTACTGAGACATGAATTGTTAGATTGTTTGGGGTTTTCTATTCTATGGTGTGGTAGCTGGGGTTCCCCTGAAATATCCCCCCATAAACAAAAAAGTCAGCAAATAAAGTGGTAGCCATTGTGCCAATCCATCTCTATGAAGACCAAATGAAGCAAGTGTTACTGATTATTAAACAATAAAGGGGATCTAGTGACACAGGAATAGCGTTGGAACAAAACCTGAGGAACAAAAAAAGAAGAATGTTAAAAGTGCACTGCTGAACTTGCTTAAACCAAAAACACACAGCTCTGAAACATCAAAATGCAACAATAAAATCTGGAGACAATTTTTTTTTTCATTAAAATGTAATGTCACATAAAAAAATAAAAACACATTATTATCATGGAACATAAAAAATAGCTGCACTATTTGAGAAGTATACTATAAAACTATGTATAGTTTAATTAATCATAGGCTAATCACCAATATCATGAAATAATTAAATAAAGTTTGAATACTAAATCATATAATAAGAATTTTGTTTGAAATATGGCATACCTTTTTCCAACTATTTAAACAGTAAACAATTACAAAACAGCAGAAATCGAAAAGCCAACAAAACAAAAACATCAAATCATTATTTTGGCTTGCAGGAAGTTGAATAATGAGAACGAATTATGTAAAATTGCAGCATATAAAACACGTGACAACTTTCCCCGACATTTATGACCAAAAACACATCAAAAGCTGAGTACAGCTTTTCATCTAACATCTGCCTTTATAAATTAATAGACTCTTTGTCATATAGCGTGTTATAGCCTATTATTTTATTTTGCGTTCACTTTTTTACCCAGTGGGTATCTCCTACTTAACCATTAATTTATGCCCACTTCTCTTCGATTTCATTATGAACGTAGGCTATTTGTTCCTGCTATTTGTTCCTAATTGTAACGCTCAGAAGTGGTTATTTAAACGTTCTGAAATGTGAAGGTGGCATTTTGCTCACCCGAGGTGTCACAGGTGTAGGAAGTTTGTGGGAAACTCATCACGCACACCTACTGCAATGGATTGTTTGCATAACATCCGAGGGAAACCGAGGACAGTCACTTCTTATCTAAACGCCTTTTGAAATACTCTCTCTTGATGAAAGCGTTGTATGTGCGCCTCTCCCCAACCCATATAGGCTACCTCAGTGCCGCCTCTCGACGCAAAATCTGCCTTTACTCAGTCCGAGACGCCTGCGCATGCGCACATAAACATTTCCCCAATCCCACTGCAGAACAGATTTACGAAGGCAACACTACCAGCCATCAGGCCTGCAATTTTGGATGACATTACAATCCGCTTGAGCTCTGCGCCTCCATTTCCCTGCTGTGACACCAACTTTAGGTTACTGAACATTTAAACCCATAATCTGTGCGCGCCTCCTCATCTTTTATTAAAAATGGCAAGAAGATTCCTCAACAAACATGCGCTTTATAGACGATGATGCCCTTTCCTGGTAACCTTCAGGAATCAGATGTTCACCTTGGTCCACTGTACAGCTGCTCACAGTTTATAAAAGTGCCTGTAGCATTTGTGTCAGGATTTTTCGTTTTAATCATAACGAGAGGACGGTAAAACAAATGTATATCAACAACATTTGGCGGGGATTCAAATGAAAGGCTGCACAAACTAACCAGACAGCAAGGTTACATCCATCCATCGCCTGCTTTTCAGTCTATCAAAAACTAGTCATTTGTTTCACGCATACAGGTATTTATAGATACACTGCTCTTAATTAAGTTTATGGCACAATAATGAAGATTTAATTTTTTTAAATAAATGTTAAAGAGTTGTCAAAGGTATAATTATAACACTGTTATATTTGTGATTACTAATTTTTATTATATTATATGTTAATTTTATTTATACTACTACATGATTATTTATCCTGCATTACTATTTTATTTTATGACATTAAAAACAATTGTTGAACAATCACGAATACCCTACCTCCTGACATAAAACATATCTTTTGGTGAATTATATCAGCATAAACGCGCTGGGCATACTGTAGATGATGATAATAATTTCCATGTAATGCTTACCTACTGTAATCATAATAATAAAGCACTTTAATTATACATTAGCAGACGCTGGACTGCAACAAATAAACAACCCCAACACAAAACACCCTGCTGACACCACAAGGCACTTGTGAACGTGTATCAGTGAACAAATATATTCACTCACCGCGCAGGCCATGTTCCAAGGACATTTGACGTTGAGTCGAAAAAAGACAGGAAAACCGGAATGATATCCAGTGATTTAGCCTCAAATCATGCCCATCATGGAGAACACAAAAATAAAAGTCACATCATTTGACCTTTATGCTATTCCAAATGCAGATGATGCGCAACGGTGCAGAATAGAAATCAAATGAAGGGAACAGGAGGCAGCAGACGGTGGTGAGCACTTCATCTTATGCGGAAGAAAACCTGAATGATGCAGATGAGACTGTACCATGTCCGCATTAATTAATCGGTTAAAACGGCGTATTGTGCTGTCGGGAACGTAAAGGAGGCTCGTTTTGGTCACATCGTTGCTGTTATTTTTGGCGCTGATTGATAGAGTGATGGGTGAAGGAGAGATGTGGGTCTACGTGCTGATGATGGCCGTTTGATGCGCATCTCTCGGTGATGGCAGCAGCAGCAGCAGCAGCATCCCAGCGCTGGAGGACGGGAGATGGGGGAGGGGCGGATCGAGATCCAGGCCTCTCTCTCTCTCTCTCTCTCTCTCTCTCTCCGCAATCTCTTCTTTTTCCCGGTAAAAGACGCATTCTACTATGGCGAGGGCTGGGATTTTAATAATCATAACCCGGGCTTTTGCCTTGGGAAGGTAACCAAGCAAGGTAACAACGCAACGTCAGCACGACTAATCAATATTCATAAGCAGAACATTCGCCATTGGGTGGCTGTTACGATAAGTTAGCATGATGTACTTAATATTCATGAAGCAGACGTTCGGCATTGGACGATTACCACGCAGCGTCAGTACGACCTTATTAATATTTATGAGCTAGGTGTCATAGAAGAGACGCTAAAGTGACCACAGCAAAGTGAAATTTTGCCTGTTAGCATATTAACGATACGCGACAACTAATAAAACAAATAATTAAAAATGTCTAGAAAAAAAGAGTCAAAAATAGTAAACACTAGGCTGAACCCAAACGAGGTTAATGACCTAATATAACAATAAAAAAATAATCAAAAATAATTCATTTAATTCACTTGAATTCATTTACTTCTATCTCTCTCGGCTGGGCATCTGAACATTCATTTTAAAGCGAGTGCTCGTGCAGCCTGCCGCCTGTAGCTCCATTAATAAAACATCCCAACAAAGGATTTGAGAACGAGAAAGAGCCTTGGTTCAATTAATATTCATCTCAATTTCAAAGTACTTTATTGGCACAATTGTTCTGCATACAATATTGCCCCAATATCACACACACTCACACACACACACACACACACACACACACACACACACACACACACTTTAATTTGTTCATTTGAATTTGAATTGCTGATTTAATAAATTTAATAATTTACTCTGCACTGTTACTTTGTCGTTTTACTTTTAATTTCATACTGATAATTTCATTGTTTATTTTGCTAGTTTATTTGCACTGCTGTTGTTTTACATTGCACAATTTTTATTTATTTATGTATTTATTTATTTGTTTATTTATTTTGTCATGTTAGTATAGAATACTAAACTGCAATTATAGAGTGGGAAAGCAAAAATGAGGTAAAAACACTGAGCATATGTCCTCTGTGTCTCTATGCTAGACACTTAAAATAATTTGAAGTAAGTTAAGTTATTAAATAAATAAGAATGGCTTGTTGACACACTTACGTGAACTTTGTTCATGTCCTGTACTGTTCTGCTGCATCCAAGTGAAATTAGTGACAATGTTATCCCCTCTAGTGGAGGAGAATGGCATTGCATCCAGCAGCTGTCACATCCCATGTTGCTGCACAAGATATCTTGATTTCTGAAGCCATTCGTGATGAAAGTGATGAATCTTTTAAAATGCAATGAGCTGATGTCTAACATAAAGACTGTATATTTTAAAAGTGCCCTCTCACTCTGCTGATGCAAATAGAGCATTATACCCAGACCAAAAAAGATCCTACTTGGATTGAACGGAAATTCTGAAATATAGGAATTTTAGCTTATCCAGAATAGTATTTGCTTCTAAGAAAATTCTTCTTTGACTGGTTCCAAATCATGATAGATCTTCATGATTGCGCTCCTTTTAAAACCCTTGAGTCAGAAGTGGAACAATGTGCAGTTTTCCATCACACGTGTTTTGATTCCAAGCTTTGAATATTACATACTTCTTCTCAAAGGCCTGTTTTAATGAGTTAGATTCAAAGGTTTTAATGTGGATGGAATGTGCTGTATGTAATCCCCTGACATAATCTGTTTGTGAGCCTACCTCTCCCTCTCTTTCTTTCTTTCTTACACCAAACACATGATTCAGATCAAGCCCCCTTTTGAGGCTAGGCTAAATAAACGCACAGAGGAAGTACAAAAAGTACTGGGCCAAAGTTCAACATCATGCTGTTCCCAGTCCGGTATCTATGCTAACCACCACTTTTAAAACAAGAAAAACGTTAAGTGACGGACTCTGCTTGCTCGTTTGCAAGGCTGCCTGCCAGATCAGGAATAAAAACTGCACTGTTATAAGGCATTCTTTCACGTTGCAAAACTTCTCTTCAGGACATCGCCACAAACCAGGTAGAGTGTTTCATTATACTTGTCTGCATGCTTCAGATGTTCCATTTTCAGAGCTGGGTAGAGCTCCGTTACTGATTCCTAACTACATGAAAATTGTAGTTAGTAACGAACCTATTACATTACAGATTTAGGTAATGTAATCAGACTACTTTTTGATTACTTTTAGATTACGTTTTACCTAAGTCATTTATCACATTGATTTAAATACGATGATCTCATACCATATTGATATAAAAATACAAAGAGTAAGAAAATATGTTCTATTCATTGTAATTAATAACAGGAAGTGCATTAAACATTGTTACTTGAAGGTTTCCCAAACTGGGGTTTGTAAATGAACTGCAAGGGCTTCATGAGTTTAATGAAAAGCTAATAATGAATTAAATCATAAAAATGGAAAATCAAAATAAGTCATTTTAGAATAACATCAATCAACATAAAACACTTAATAAAAAATAAAATACTTAATTTGTTTATCTACATGTCATGTGAGCATTAACCAACAGAGAATCGTGAACATGCAAATGTGATCATTATTCAAATATTTATTTTTAAATCCCAGGGTACTTGAAGTAATTATATATTAGTTGAAAGATGTTCAGATGACAAAAAAAGTTTTGGAATGCCTGCATTACATGTAAATAAGAAATAATGTGAATTTGTCTATTTTTAAATTGTGCATTCTTTGTGTGAATGTCCACATAACCGGAAGACTTTCTGAGTGTATATAAGCAGTAGGACATTTTAGAAAGGAACATTTAAAAGATGAAAAAGAGGAATTAGTGAGAATCAATAAATTATGAATAATTTATTGCTATTGTGTGAATAATATGTAATCATCAATAAAAAAGTAACTGTTGTCTGATTACAGTATTTTAAAATGTAATTTAATCCAATTACAAGTACTTAATTTTTGGAATTGGATTACGTAATCCAGATTACATGTAATCAGTTACTATCCATCTCTGTCCATTTTGCAGTTTAGTCAATGGACATATTAAAATAGAGAATAGAGACTATTGCACAGTGTCATTCAAAACAATGCACACGTGTGAACAATGCAATGAGTTGTTACACAGTTATAAATTTAAACACATTTGTGCAAATCACTAAATTGCTTGCACTGTGCAACCTATTTAGCCAGAACACAGGTTTTGATGCTCAAGTCATTGGTATGCAAAAGTGTAATCTCAGATGAATAGCCTTTACATAACACATCTATTTAGTATACATGTCAGGGACATATATTTGTGTTAGTTACATGATCGGTGTACTCTTAGTACCTTTAGTCTCTCTCGTTCCCACTGTGAACTTTTAAAACTGTACATGTGTTCAGCTGAGATTGTGTAGTAATGCCAGGTCAATGTGCAATGATTCTCTCAGATAGGGTAAAGGAGGCAGCCCCTGCAAGTGACAGAGGAGAGAAACAAAAAATAAATAAATAAAATAAAAAATGAGATAGCGATATTAGTTTGTAATCATATATGGTATGGGTATAATACTTATATTACACTAACTATACAATATTATCGAAAACATATTATACACTGCCTTCTTTCTGAAATCATACTAATCTGTCCATTTATTACAGCTTACAAAATAGCAAATTAACTTGATTTTGAATAAAAAACTAAAAATAAAAACATCAAAAATAATATTATATATATATATTCATTTATTTATTTATTTATTTATCAAACAACATTGGACCCACATTGGTTTCTAAGTTATAAGCACAAGCAATTTTCCATTAGCCAAATTTTGATTATGACTGACTAATCAAACATATATTTTCAGACAATGTTGCTGCATCCCCAAATCTTTGTCCTTGTTGCCTTCCTTTGGAGTGTCCCACCACTTTCCCTGGCTGGGAAGATCCTGGTGTACCCAGTGGATGGAAGCCACTGGCTTAACATGGACATTTTGCTACGAGAGCTTCATCAGCGAGGTCACAAACTGACAGTTGTCCGTTCTGCCAACAGCTGGTACATCCCAGAGAACACCACACACTATACACCCATCACCATCCGTGTCGATCATCTCTCCAGCCTGGAGGACCCCGAGTACATGGCATCCTTTCTTAAGAGAAACATTGACATTCAAAGAGGGGAAGGATCTGTTTGGTCATTCATGGCCCTGCAGAAAGAAGTAATTACTCTTTTAGAAGAGTCTCACAAGTCTTCTGCTGAGATGGTGAGGACCATTCTAGAGGATAATAAGCTTGTTAAAACACTCAAAGAGTCCAAGCATGATTTGATGCTAACTGATCCTGGTTTTGCAGGAGGGGTCATATTGGGCACGTACTTGGGTTTACCAATGGTGTACAATGTACGATGGATAACAAATGCAGAAGGACACTTTGCAATTGCACCCTCACCGCTTTCTTACATCCCAACTATCGGATCTAGGGTGACAGATAAAATGAGCTTTGCAAATAAAATGAAGAATTTCTTGCATTATGGAATCGGCCAATACATAGACCATTTGCTCACAAGGCCTCTTTATCAAGGAGTTATCAGCGAACACATAGACCCAAACACCAATGTGTACTCTCTGATCCAGGGAGCAGATCTGTGGCTCATGAGAGTCGATTTTGTATTCGAGTTTCCTCGTCCTACTATGCCCAATGTGGTCTACATTGGAGGCTTCCAGTGCAAACCATCCAAACCTCTACCAGATGAATTGGAGAAGTTTGTCGAGAGTTCTGGAGAGCGCGGGGTGGTGATCATGTCTTTGGGTACTCTGCTTGGAAGTCTGGTTCCTGACATATCCGAAGTCGTCGCCTCCGCCTTTGCTCGCTTGCCACAAAAGGTGATTTGGAGGCACGTAGGGGAAAAGCCATCTACGTTGGGGAACAATACACTGATAGTGGACTGGCTGCCTCAAAACGACCTCTTAGGCCATCCTAAAACTAAAGCTTTCGTCACCCACGGAGGAACGAATGGAATCTACGAG